TAGGTGGAATTATCAACAGTGGTGCCAAGTCCTCTTTAGAGATGAATCAACATTAACAGTAGTGTATGTACTGTAGACCAACCTATTCGACATCAGTGAGAGTGGTGAAGACATAAAATACTATACCAATTGTTACAGTATGTACAACAAACTAATCAATAAGAATATCCAAGGGTGATGAGCTGGGCAGGAATGTCTAGTCACTGTAGATTAGCGCTTGTAATAATTGACGAAAACCTGAATGAGCTCCATTTTTTAAGTACTGGGACTCACCTGCTGCTCTTACTGTGGGCTCAGCTTGACAGCATTCCAGTAGGACAGTGTGCGTCGTCATGTTTTTTTGACAATGTGGATAATGAAACAATGACTTTCCTATGAGATGAGAATGTGACATTTCTAATTGATATTTTAGAGTATGTATAATGTCTGTATGCACAGTATACAGTATGTATGTGCATGTATTGTATTAACTTAAAATCTTTAGTAATTAGCAAGCATTTGGTTCTGAAGAATTGGAGACAAACATGTGCAATGAGGACAATTGCTAAAATTCAAACTATAATTCCATTCAGAATTTCTTCAGGTTTTTTGCTGTAAAGTATATCGAGCCTAATTTCCTTTACTAAATAATAATTCTCTTGTAATAGTTCTCATTTGTCATGGTAACTCTCAATCAGAAGACATGATTATTTCAGAAGTGATCATATGATTTACCCCAAAAAAATATTCACCTGTCAGTATGGACAAATTTACACTAATTTAGATTCTATAATAAAGTTGTACCTGTACATAAATGCTATAGGAAAATCTAATTCTTTCATTGGTGTAATCTTCTGAGTTTCTTAACGTATTATAACATTTATCAGTAATATGCTAAATAATCCAATCTTTGAAATGTTTTATGTCATTGACTGTTTTTGTGGCATTATGTAAGTTATAATTTTATAATGCTTCATTAACCTTGCATTAATCACAGTGCAGCCTACATATTATTGTTATTGCATTGTGTTTCTTTAATTTATCCCTTAAAATGGCCTTAAACTGTCCAATTCCATTTCAAGAAAGTAAATATAGCCAGAAAAATATTTTTAAAAGAAATAAATGCATTATAGTTTTTTAAGCCATTTTATTTTGTGCTTTACCTTTATTTGTTTTGGATAAACTTTCTTTAATAAATTTCAAGGAACAGGGAAGAAACTCAGGTAGGCCCTGTGTTAAAAAAGATGATAAAATTAGTATCTTCCAGTGTGTATCTTCTTCTTGCTGATACATTGACCCTGTCTCTGCATATACCTTTCTCTTTCAGATAAATCCATTACTTTTTCAAATAGGCAGGCGCAAATACCCATTTAGTTTTCAAAGTGCAGTGGAAAGTGCAATGAAAACTTTCATTTTATTTGATAGCATTGTGTGAAACTGGAACATTCAATGTATCAGTTTCACAAATGCTATCAAAATACTCTAATCCCTTTGAAAGAGCTTTCTTTGTCAGCTCAACTTTAAAACTGTGGTAGTCTTGCATTGCTAAGGAACATGAACATTCAGTACTTTAATCTACTTTATTTTAACATTTTTAGTGCATTTGTTCATTTTTTCAAGAAAAGCAATCAACTGAACACTTAAGAATGGCATTAACACACAGGCAACAAAATTGAATGGTGTGGAGTGAATAAATTGATTACATTTACCTGGATTATTGAAGCCTATTTTTTGCTTGAATTTGTCACAGAGCTTTTTAACAATGTTTCACAAGTATTGTTTTTTTAGATTTCTATGTACAATATTCCTGTCAATTCCATGATGTTTCAGTAGAACTTATGAAACCTTTACATAAAAGAGGTAATTTGTCAAGTCTTGTTCATTTGGTTGCTACCATTCAAGAGAATCACGGATCCAGTTTGTTGAAAGATGTCAAGGTGTCAGCTGCACCAACATGGCTGAATAGGTTGTTCCAGAAACCCACAACCCTTTGTGTAAAAAAAAGTGCTTTCTGTTTTGAAGTTACCACTTGTGTCCTTTAGTTTTCTTTGTTTTTGAATTATAAAAGAAGAAACGGGAAGGCCTCTTTAGGTAAACTGAGGTGTGGTTTGTTATCCTCATTAATATTTGTTTTTGTGGGCTACTTTACATTATTAATTATTAGTATCCTTATTGCACTTTGTTTATTAAATGAAAATAAAAACTAATAATAAAAGGAATGCATGGGTGACCTCTTATTCAGCCCATTTTGTGGCATAGGTTTTGGAAAAAGGTCACCTCTGTGTAATTCAGTTTAAAAACCCCTAAGTTTTTAAATGTCAATTCACACAAAGCACCTGGGGCTATAGTTCTTGGACCTCCATTCACACACCCAGGCAACAAAGGAAAAATGAGAGAAGTTTTTGTAACAAATTACATTTGTTGGCTGCACATGATGAATGTAGATGACCTCATCAAATGAAAGCTTTAGCACCTTGCACAGATGCAATCACAGTGGTCTATGAAACCAGGAGACGACTTTGAGAACCAGCATCGGAGACCGAATTCAGCTGGATGTGTATAAACATCACAAGTTGCAGAAAGACATTTATTAATTGATAAATTCCATTCTTCCCCATCTTTAAGATATTGAACTGAACTATATAGTGGGAGTGCTGACCTTCAGCAAGTTGTTTATTCAATCTTCAGTTAACGAAACCAGCTATAAGTAGTTTTCCTGTTCCTGTATTTGCTCACATGGTTTATTTTGCAACATTAGATCTCATTACAAAACACTGTACCTTGTATAATGATGCCACTTTAAGTGTCTGCTTCTTTTAGACTTTCTGCACTGTTCTACATTAACTGACCTTAGAACCAGAATCACTGGGCTTGGAAATACCTGAGCACAGGAAGTGAGAAATCCATAATACATTTTTCTCAAAAGTTTAGAAAGGTTATTGAAGCTTTAAAGTTTCTCTAAACTATCAACTCCATAAATTAACTGTATATTGAAACGGGGGGTATGCTTGAAAAGCACAATGTTATCTATTAATAATTCAACAAAAATGTTTTGATGAACTAATGTAGCTGTAGATTTTAAACAAAGTTAAAATCTGTACTGTATATGCAAAATATGCAAAAACACTTTATCAACAATTAATAAAGCTAAATAATGTTTAACTGCTATTTCATGGACATGGTATGATAAACGTTGTTACTCTATGACACTAATGTATTTAGTAGAATACATTAGAGGTACTGTAGGTATACTGTACTAAGTTTTGCTGTGTCCAGCAAGAGAAATGATATAAATAGTAGGGCATTTAAAATGTGTACAAACCTCTCAATGAACCAAAGACACAGATTTCATCTGCACTTAATTTGCTTGATAAGGCACCATTTAAGGAACTGAGGTCTTGATACATAAACTCCCAGGTGAAGATATATTTTGATAAAAGAACATTCTGTGAAAAAAAAACTTTAGTTTGTTCTGCAATGTGGACAGGAAAGGGTCCTTTAGTACAGGCTGCTGGTTTCTCTCTCTTTTTTCTGTTTTTAGGAACATTGATACTTTGAAATAAGGGCACACTCTATACCCTTGGCTTTTCTGATTCTTATGATTCAATTACCGTTTCCAATTAAAGTTGTCAAATAGTGTCTTTCTATGCGTTCCTTTATACCCAGGTGAACTGTGATTTTTTCCCGGTGTGTTTTATTCTTTCTGACAGCTTCTGTCAAGATGCATTGAAACCTTGTGAAATAATACACACAAGGGCAAGGTATTTTCATCTTCAGCTTAAAAGATGGGGAAGGAAGGAAAGACAGAAAAAAAGAGGCCATACGTTTGTTGCAAAAACTAAAGAAATAAATGTGATCCTTCTGTTTCCTGTAGGACTGTTTGTTCTTTAAAATATCCAACCAAGGTTTATCTTCCATCATGTAACATTTTCTGACATTTTGACTGCTGAAATCAGGTTTCCTCTTGCAGGCATCCAAGCATGGATCTGCAGAATGTGAATCACGGATCAGCAGTTAAACTGAATATTAAGTGTGGAAGCAGGCTTTGGAGGAGAGTGCATATTTTGGTCAGGCCTTGCCAGCTGTAACCTTGGCAAGCCTAGACAATCCACTCCAAGTCTGATCTTCATTTAATTTTAATTTTTAAAGAGATACTATCACTTCTTTCAAGATATGACAAGACGCGATCCCTAGATCAGTTAGATATCAAAAACTGAAATAGCATTTTTTGCCAAAACTAAAACTAGATTGGCCTCCTCCTTGTTTGCATACTTCCTCATGTGCTAAACAGATGTGAAAAAGAGTGAAAAATCCAGACTTCCAACAGTGGTTGCAAATAGTCCATTTGGGTATGTGCTGAAGTACTACTGAAATGAAAAAAGCATGAAATCAAGGAACACATCAAGAGGTGCTTTGAAAATGTTTAAATTGAGATTACATGCTTGTTTTTTTCAAGTCGGCATGATTTATCTTTCATCTCTTTTCAAGTATTGTCAGTCCTGCAGACTCTCATCAGCTTTCTTTATAGGCAGTGTGGTTCAATCCATTTGATATCTAGGATCATTCAGAGTAATAATACCATTATTTTGTCAAACTATGACCAAATTTACAGTCAGTATAGTCATAGTTATTTATTAGTGTTGCCATCGAAAACAAAATGCAGAACATTATTAAAGACAGGCTTAAAACTTTTTCAAATACATAGGTTTGGCCTATATCTGAAGCAATTAAATTATGTGCCCCTTTGTTTTGGAAATTCTGGAAAGCATTTTTTATGATTGTTCTGCTGAAATACACTTCCTAATTTTGTAAAAGGTGACCCTTTTTGTTCATGTATGGCCACTAAGATATTTTCCTTTGGTGATTTCTGTTATCACTTTGCTTTGATGATTACAGTATGCTTATTCATTCATTCAAGCGCTGAGCTGCTGAGCGAGTTTCTCAAAGGCATAGGAACATTAGTGGACAAATGTGGACAAACTATATACTGTATGCAATTATATATTTTTTTCTTTTGCCAGGTCCTCCTAACCATCACAGCCAGTCAACACTAAGACCCCCACTGCCTCCACCACACAACCACCAGACGCTGTCTCATCATCACTCCTCTGCCAACTCACTGAACCGAAACTCGCTGACCAACCGACGGAACCAGATCCATGCTCCAGCATCTGCTCCTAATGATGTGCCCACCACCCCAGAGTCTGTGCAGCTGCAGGACAGCTGGGTGCTCAACAGCAATGTGCCCCTGGAGACCAGGTACTGTACCACGTTTTACCATTATTATGAAGTTACAAATTATCAGTCATCCATATTAATAGTACTAGCGGTTAATATTTCTGTTTAACAATAAGATTGATGTTTTCCAGTAGAAAATTCTGAAATTGGTATAGTATGTTTTGATAACTAAACTTTCTGCACTCAGTGTTTTAAGTGGCCTTCATTAAATCCTCCAGATTTTCCTACCTTTATTGGTTATTTTACAGTACGTATTCATTCTTTCAGTTTTTCTCAACCTCCCCAAAATATTTTGAAACTAGGTATGATCGTTTCGTATCTGCTCTTCAAGTTCCAGCTTATATTTGCTCTACTGATCATTAAATAGGCAGTGCTTGAAAAGCTCAAGATGTGAGCAGAAGCCTAAGGTTTGATAATTGCTTTTGATGATGGCTAGATTCTTGACTTCATCAATTGCAACCACAGTCATATTCTTTTGGACTATCAGGACTGGGAAAAAGAAGGATACACATGATAGGGTTCAGGGAAAAAGAGGCTTATCGATGAGACATGTTTGTCTAATGTGGACCTGATTTAAATCAATTCACTTTGTACAGTACTACAATATAATAACATTTTGCACTAGGTGCTTAACTCTTCTCTGTAATTTATCATTTTCAACGTGGATTATTTTCTGAAGTAAAAAAATGTGAAACAGTACACACCCTTCTGTAGAATGTCAAATAAGATTAATAATAATAATTATAATAATTGCTTACACTTATATAGCACTTTTCTGGACACTCCACTCAAAGCGCTTTACAGGCAATGGGGACTTGCCTCCACCACTACCAATGTGCAGCCCCACCTGGATTACTTTGGCCAAGAAGGATTTTGTGATGATACACAGCATTAGCATGGAAAAGATCATATTAACCTGACAGATTCCATCTTGCTTTTTACTTTGTTGTTCGGTTTTTGGCAGTTGTGTCCTGCTTAGTTTACATTGGGTTGATTTTGGATTTTCATTACAGCTTCAGGTGTGATAGATTTTCTTTACTGTAGCACTCGGTGGTGACATCTGTACGAGCCCACATGCTCATCCACTCCAGTGCTTTAACTGATTAATAAAACGTTTGTCATTATGCTGAAGGAAATCAGTGCTTTGCTTTTTCAATGCTGTACTTAGCTACAATGCTGGGCCTCCAGTTGAAGATATGAAGGTCTTTTTTCAGTGATGGGAAATGTATGGAGGGGAAAGTGTTCTTTTTATCTGGGATTATTCATCAGGCAAAAGATGTCCTTAATGTACCTCTGAAAAGATTATGGGGTTGGAACATTTGTGAATTTCGAATAAGCACTCAGCAGCAATAACAGGGTAGCAAGCCTATACATAAAGAGTGCAATAATGAGATGGCACCTAACTTCAAGAATGCTAGGTCTTACACTTCTATCTGTCTTATCAGTGGAGTGATTGCCAGTAATTCACATTTCATGTCCTAAATGTCTTCTGTGATCCAGAATACTATAGAGACATTCTGTTACCCTGATACTAAAAAGCTTCTCATCCCTCAACCATACATATTGTGATATGGAAAAAAGAAAATAGAATACTTATACAGTAGTTTGAATAATTTGATTATTATTTGGAAGTGAGTTTCATCCTGGCAATTGTCTTATCCTAATATTACTCTTACCCTAATCTCTTTAAGAAAAAAAATATTTTCATGTAAAACAACCAAAGAAAGATACAGTAGTTCAGTGCTCAAATTCAGTGAATCAATCACATTATTAATTATGATTTGAAATTATATATTTATGTATATTCTATATAAATATCCTTCTTGGTATATATGTATGATATACAGTACAGTATATACATCATATACAGTATGTATTTTTATTTTTGCAGAATGGTAAAAAAAATACATTTTAAGATGGATTTTTAAAACTGATTTTCTTTTCAAATAGGTTAAACCACTGGATCTCAATGGATAGTTTCTGAAAAAAAATGCTGCAGTTCTCACCTTTAAGGACTTTGACAAGGGGCTACAAAGGTTTCAGAGTGCCACAACAGCAATGTAACACATTTTCAAAGCATTTTCAAGTCATCACGATTAACATGCAAACTAGATGGCTTAAAACAGCATTTTTCAATTAGTCATTTCAAGTACCATAGTCATATGCTCTTAGGCCTCCTGTATTGCTGAAACATTTCCACTCTGATAGACCTATTTTCAAATCCATATGGTTTGAAGATCTGTATTATCTCCAACTTGCCCACACAGTGGTGTCTCGATGTTCGCGAGGGTTCGGTGCAGAAAACCATCACTCATCACCATCATTCAAGTAGTTGAATTTGCGTATTACCAAGTCCCATCTCATAATGTACTGCATTATATACATAATTATTTATGGTTTGACGACATGCTGTAAGTAACCCCCTTATATGATAATTAAAGTACTAATGCACTGACTTTAAGTTAACTAAAATAACATCAATCAACTAAAAGAAACAACAATAATCAGCAAAAATAAATAGCATATGCCTGCACTTTCTTTCTCTGCCTCTGTGATTAGCACGCCCCAGGGTAAGGAAACGGACAATAAATCTGTCAGTGAGCCTGTATAGTTGTCTCCAGCCTGTCATCTCCCACACCGCCAACACAACCAGGAGTGTCTGCTGCAGTACAAAATCAAGTCAAGATGCGGTCGCTGGGTAGTGGGTACTTGTGTAGGCGGCAGGGAGTGGCACACTCATCTGGCTGGATGCCTCATGACCCTAGGCTTTTGTTCTGCTACTTTGAAAGTTGCGCTGTAACAACCTTCAGCTCAGTTTCATCCCGCTCTGCTCTCCTTTGATCCAAGACCTCATTGGCCTTACTGAATCATGAATAGGCGAATTTGAGAATGTAAAATTTGCAGATAACGACACCCTACCATATTCTGTATTTTAACAGGCTCTGCGGTGATAATGCTACGCCAGAAGTCACCTCTCTGAAACCTAAACGGTATAGAGCAGCAGCAGAAGACCGGTCTTTGGGTCTTATACGCATTACATACTCTATTGTATATAACCTATGGGTGTGGGTATTGATACAAATATGCCATTTTAAGCTTCATAAAACCAGATTCAGACATGTTTGTAATTCAAGAAAAGGTCCAAGCAGTGTGTTAGCTGTGCAGTAAACCATGAGGCTCCACTGCTTGTTTCCTTTTTTATGCCTCATGTCTTTTTTTTAACGTACACCGTCTTTAAAACAGTTTTAAAATTCTAAACTTATATGACGCAAGGAGGTGTTGGAGCTCAGTCTCAAACTGAGTGGTGCCAGACCTGAGCTCTGGCGAATTCTGACACATTTTAAGCACAGCTAAGAAGTCTGACGTCATGTGTTTCTTCTGCAATTTAATGCAGTGGGCTGAAACTACAGTGACATAACTGACACGGGTGCATCTGCTGCTGTGATTTGTTTTGTCAACCCTCAGCTTTGATTGCATCAATAATAGTTTAATCTGTGCCTAAAGTTGCCTTCAGTAGCAATGTTTTCTCTTTATAGAGATGAACGCCAGCACACTTTAAATCAGAGCCATCCCCAGTTAGGTTTTTAATGAGGAGCCTTGAATGACACTACCTTACTTTGCATGAAGAAAATAAATCTTGCATATTTGCTAATGGCTAATGCAGAATAATTTACTGGAGTGATAAAAGAAGAAAGTTGAGCCAATGTGCTCTATAAAGAGTACAGAGCTAGCACTTACAAAGGAAATATATTAGGCGAACTGTGTTCCTACTTCTGTTATCGTGAGTACAAGCTAAAACTTTACAAATTTATTTAAAGTTTTGAACTTTAGACAAATGATGAAAATGCTTTATTTTTGTATTATTGTATGCATTACATTGACATAAAAATACCTTATTTTCACTCTCACAGAGAAAAAATGTTTCTTGTGCTGTAAATTTTAGATCGACATCCCATCCATTTGTATTTTCTGTACTGTGGAGTTGCGCCTGTTACCCTGCTGGTACAACTTGGTGAACAGCCTTCATTGTCACGGGGTGGTATAAGATGAAAAAAACTGAACTCATAATAGATAACCGTCTTGCACAAATGTCACAAACTACCTCCTCAAGCTCTGAAGGAATTGCACTGTAAGGTAACAGGCAATCTTATTACTGTTAATAATGCACTGCCATCAGCCCAGGCTCATTACCTTCAAAACCTAATCTGTAAGATTTGTGCCAAGTATTGTATTACTGCGTAATTAAATTGGATCTGTATGGGTAATCTGTATATAATAGTTAACACACATTACTAAAGAATGCTATTTTGTCAAAATGTAACAACAGCAGTTCTAGATCAAAAGAAATTCTACAGTGCTTATGTCGTTAACTTTTTGTTTTTTACTGCCCCCGAAGTTTAAGTTGGCATGCCTTACCTACACCAGGTACATTGCCCCATTACCATTTTCTAGTGGTCAAATAAATCTAGTATGATATACTGGTAAACTATTATATACTGTACAATCAGAAAAGGAAATTCTCTGAGAACTGGCAGATTACTCTAAAAATGGACTTCGACCAGCTTCTGCTGGTCTAGCAATCTGCCTCAGTTGAAAGTCACTGATTCAACCCAGGCATCCTAGATACAGTATATAAATTGCAGTTCTGTTGCTGCATATGGGTGGGTTGCTCTTATACAGTTTGTACAAATTTGCAATCTGGAATGGACTTTGTGACATCACTGCCATGTGATTTAATGAAATAGATTCTGCTTAGTTAAAGTGTCAGGGGAATAGAGATAGAGACTAGGTGAGCACATAACAGAGGTGAATTGACTGAGACAGTTTTTGTTTTATTATTGGCACACTGTTGCATCAAAAACAGTAGGCAAATAGTTCAATTTAAAGTTAGAGCACAGCACATCTTATCATATCCAAGAGTGCAATTAGTCTTAAATTATAAATGTCACTGTATCCAAAGGGTCAGTGGCAAAATGTTGTATAGGAAAACAAATGTGTCACAAGTGTAATTGGTAGGAAAT